AATTAATATAGACTCTAAGCACTAGGGTTAATGGACAAAAAAGTGTTCAGGAATAGAGTAAGACTGAGGGCATGGGCATGTCAAAGGAGAATTCCTTTTTTTTTTTCTTACAACTTGCTGTATTTTGAAGGCTACCTTGAACTCCTGATCCTCCTGCCTTCATCTCCCAAGGGCTGGGATTAGAGAGCCCATGTTTCCACATCCAGATCCTCATAACTTTTTATTAGAATCTGGTTACCAGAGTTGAAAGAATAGTTCAGTGTGCATCTACATGCCCTCAATAGCGCAGTCATTATTAACACACTAGCATTCTGTGTCAGCACGTGAAAATACTGTGGAGTGAGGAGATAGTCTTCCTATGTTCCAAAGCCAGGGCTACCATTTTCTATTTGTATTATCTGGCCTTGGGTGAGATCCAGAACATCCTTCTAAGCTTGTTTCTTCAGCTATAAAATAGGGTGACAGCTCAGAGAATTAATTAATAGGGTAAGTTCGGCACACAGTAACAGATGCTCAGTAATTATTGTTTAGTTACCTGTTTTATCTCCTCCCTGTTGTTGCAAACTACAGTCATTTTGAAAGAGAGAGATTCAACTGAGAAAGTGCCCCCACCGGACTGTTATTGTGGGCTTCCTACTTGTCCTATAATTAGGAGGCAGAGACTTCTATGTGGTTTAAAGCTGTCAGCCTTTTCCTGGAACAGACTCTGAGCTAAACTTAAGCTGACTTTTCCTCTGCTCCATCTTTCCACGTGGATCTCACTGTCTGTTCCATCTTCCTTTTGTTCCCTTCCATGTCTCCTTGAGTCTCCTGCCATCTCTACCTGCCCAAAGTTCAGCCCCGGTACTTCCTGCCCCAGCTCTGGGGCTGTCAGCATTTTAGTATACAAAAAGCCACATTCTAATCTGAACCCATCAGCAGCAAGACAACACCTGATACATCTCTTTCGGGTCGCCCTTTGGCAGGTGAAGAAGGACAAGCATTTACAAATAGAAAACCGGTGATGGTCCAAAATCCTGCTGACACTTAGCTTTAGCCAACACCGAATTAACAACTGAAAATGCAGGGACACACCTTCATTAATGTGAGGGAAGGTCATTTCAACAGATTGTCCTGTGGGCAAACTGGTATCATATATCTATTTATTTATTTATCTATTTATTTATATTAATTACAGTTTTTTTTCACTTTATATCCTAGCTGCAGCCGCCTCCCTTGTCCCCTCCCAATCTCACCCTCCCTCCCTCATCTCCTCCCATGCCCCTCGCCAAGTCCACTGATAGGGGAGGTCCTCCTCCCCTTTTCCATCTGACCCTATCTTACCAGGTCTCATCAGGACTGGCTGCATTGTCTTCCTCTGTGGCCTGGTAAGTCTGCTCCCTGCTCAGGGGGAGGTGATCAAAGAGCCAGCCACTGAATTCATGTCAGAGACAGGCCCTGTTCCCATTACTATGGAACCCACTTGGACACTGAACTACCATGGGCTACATCTTTGCAGGGGTTCTAGGTTATCTCCATGCATGGTCCTTGGTTGGAGTGTCAGTCGCAAAAAAGACCCCTGTGCCCAAATTTTTTTGGTTCTGTTGGTCTCCTTGTGGAGCTCCTGTCCCCTCCAGTCTATCTCCCCCTTTTTTCAAGATTCCCTGCGCTCTGCCCAGAGTTTATTCTTGATTGATGTGGGAGGGACTGGCCATTGTCGGTGGTGCCACTTCTGGGTTCTATAAGAAGGCAGGCTGGGCAAGCCACTAAGCCACTCTCCTCCATGGGCTCTGCCTCAGTGCCTGAGTTCAGTTCCTGCCTTGAGAGTCATCAGTGATAGACGTTGATGCGGAACTATAAGCCGAAACAAACCCCTGTCTAGGTTGGTTTTGTTCCAGGTATGACACCTTGACACTTACCCTGAAAGATAAGACAATGTCTTGATTGATTTCACTTTAAATCTATGGCCCTCAACCTCTGGTGTTCCTTCCTGTCACACCTATCACTCACTTTCTTAGGAGACCGTTTCACTCATTTTCATCTTTCATCAGACCTTTTACCACTTCTTGCCCCTCAACTCTCAGGTGACAACTGCCCTTCTTGTTTCACTGAGAATATAGAAACATGTAGTAGAAAGTGTCTACAAGTCTCACCCTGCTTGCACCTGTCCCATGCCTTCATTCCTGTCTGTAAATGCTGTGTTAATGCCCCTATCTAAGGCTAACCCTTCCGCTTGTGTACTGTATCCAATCTTTTCCTTGCTTATTCAAGACCTAACTCTTATAATTATCCTTTCTCTCTACCATCCTCATTTTTTTCCCTCTGCTAAATCATTTCCATCAGCACTCCCTTAACAGACACCTTCCGCAGTCACATATCCATCCCCAAGTGTTGTCCAGTCCTGCTGTCCCTAAAGAGAAATGTCTTTCATAGAGTTCTCTGGACTCAAAATTGCGCCAGGAAATCTAGCACATGTTACTATGAAACCTCTGAAGTCTGAATACGTTCTATCACTTAGTCACTATGATCCTAGTCTAAAGCCCACTGTTATGCTTAGACTGACGTAAGACCCTTCTAATTTCCCTCGTGGCTTTCCCTTTCTGTTTTGTAGTTTAATCTCAGAACAACCCCTTAAAAGCTGGGTGGTAGTGGCGCACACCTTTAATCCCAGCACCCAGGAGGCAGAGGCAGGTGGCTTTCTGTGAGTTCATTGCCTGGTCTATAAATTGAGTTCCAGGAAAGCCAGGACTATGCAGAAATACCATATCTTGAAAAACCAAATCAAACCAAGCAACCAAACAAAAACCTCCAATTCCTTAAAAACATGGTGGAGAGGATGCAGCATGACCAGCTGCCCATGCTTCTGCCGCCACGGCTCCTCGCCATGATGGGCTGTGTCCTTTCTTAATCTGTAAACCACAGTAAACTCTTCTTTGTCAAAAACATGCTAAAGAAAGGGGCATTGTGGCACACACCTGTCATTCCAGCACTTGGGAGGTGAAGGGCTGGAGGTAGGATCAGTTCAAGAGCTGCCTTGTCTGCACCGTGACCCTGAGTCAAACAAGCAACAAACAAGAAACTTCTCTTCTTGGATGATTAAAAGATATCCCAAACTGGTTCAAAACAAAACAAACAAACAAACAAACAAACAAAAAACAGCGACGTAAAAAACCAAACCAAATCAAACAAACAAACCCCCCTCCTGATCCTCTCCCTAAAATCCATTCTGTTGGTTGTCTTCTCTGTAGCAGGAAATGGGAACTCCTTTTCCCCCTGTTGGTCAGGCTACTTCAGGAGTCACTCTTGACTCCCACTTTATGACAAGATCACTTCTCCAATTAGAGTCACTGCTGTAGCAAATTAAAATGGGTGTTGGACTAAATAATGTTATTTATCATTTGCCCTATAATTTTCACGGCAGAATTATTTAACCCACTGTCACAATCAAAGAGACACAGACACCTGTTAAATTTTGTAATTGCCTTTATTATCTTAGACTGGGCAGCTGTTCTACCTATACTGTCTCAATAACCTCAACATCCATCTCCCAGCCCCCGTCTAATGATGTCTACCTTGACTATAACTGGGCTACCTTCCATTCATAATCCTAAGATACCTGCTTATATTTTTTTTCTTAGTGTTTCTCCATCAACACCATCCTTGGAGTCCTTCCTCCCGGCCCACGTGGTTCCTTCTCCACACAAACCCATCATGGCATCCTTCTGCCTCCTCTCTTCCTGTCTGGCTGTTTCCTGTGATTCTCTTGAACCCAAAGCCCAGGAACCAATGCCCACCCCATTCTGCCCTGCCCAGGTTTTAGGCTTTTAATCAATCAATCAATCAATCAACCAATCAATCAATCAGGTATAATGATGTAAGCAGGTTTACACAACAAGGATAGGTTTATCCAGGCAGTAACCAGATCTTGAGGGCCAGTAATTAGCATCACAATACAAGCATTAGACCAACCTCCAGCAAATTATCTTGGTCGTGGTTCTAAATTAATCCTCATAACCCCCTTCACTGCCACTGTTCTGATTCAAGCTACCACCTTCTCTCACTTGGCTTACTGAAGCCCTTTCGTGGGCTTTCTGCTTCCTCTTTCATGCAAATCAGAGTTCTCCAATGGCTTCTACCTGTAGTAAATGAAATCCCTTAATAAGTCTCCCCAAGGCCCTATATAATTTGCTCCCATCTATAGCTAGGCCTGATCTCAGTTCCATCCCTCATCCTTTCCTCTCTGCACTTCAGCCATGCCTGATCTTGCTGCTCTTCAAGAGGTGCATCATACTTCTGCCCCAGGGTCTTGCCACAGATACCCACAGCCTTTACCGCTTACTTCCTGTAGCTTCTTGCTCAAATGCCACCTCTCAGAAAAAATTTCCAGGGTTGGTGATCTTCCAGGGTTAGTTCAGTGGTAAAGCAATTGTCTAGCATGCATGACATGAATCCATGAGCCCTGACTGCAATCCCCAACACTTAAAAGAAAAAAAAAAAAGTTACCTCCATAGTTGTCCTGATGGACTTTTCCTGACAACTACATAAAGGCCTGTTCCTCTATCCTTACCTAGCATTCATCACATCCCCACCTTGTCTTTTCACTAGTACTTTTTACCATCTCATACCATGGTCACCTGTTTGCTGAATAACCCTAGATTGAGCTCTGTGAAGGCATGGTTTCTTTATCTGCTTTGTCTCCTATAATTTCTCTACCATCACTAAATATTCACTGAGTTCATTATTCTCATTGAGTAGCTCACTGTGTGGCCCAAGTTGGTCTGGAACTCATGATAATCCTCTTGTCTTGGCCTCCCGAATGTTAGGATTACAAGCATTCTCTACCATACTGGGCTTACTGAATGAGTTTTGATGATTTTTCCATCTGATCTCAAGATCTACTTCTTCGCAAGTCTTGGGAAATATGCCTGGTTGTGGGAAAGCTTGAGTGTGCATAAGAGATCTAAAGGAATGATACCTCCATGCTTTCATGTGAATCTCACATTGTTATTCTTTTCTTCCAGCTTAACACAAAAACATCCTCAGCAACCAACCAGGCATCTGACCCCGAGGAAAAAGGTGAGTAAGGTTGGGCTAGGCAGTTAGTAGAACTAAGGAAGATAGAAATATGATACAAAAAAAGTTGTAAATCTAGACGATCCTGACATGGATGCCAAAGTGTGGAGTGAGGCCAAGTAAAACAAGGGGTTACTACGGCTTGAGGTTCTTGCTAATTTTTTCCAAGAAGCAATTATATCAGCATTTTCACTTTATTTTAGCAAGTAAAGTCTAGAGTGTTTGGGAAATGCATGTAAAATGATGAGAAGGGGCCAGTGAGATGGCTCAGTGGAAAAAGATGCTTATTAATCAGTCCTGAAGCCTTCAGTTCAATCTCCAGAACACACATGGTAGAAGGCAAAAAGTAACACTCACAAGTTGTCTCTCCTTGATCTCTACACATGGGACACATACACATGTCAAGAAAATTAAGGTATTTAAAAGGATTTGCTTTTTTAAACATGGTATATGTATGTATGTATGTGTGCCTGTGTGAGTTTTTGTGCGCCCTGTGCATGTAGGTGCCCTCAGAGGCCATAAGGCTTCAGAGCCCCTTCAACTGGAATTACAAGTGGATGCTGGGAATGGCACCTGGAACTTCTGCAAGAGCACTAAATGCTCTTAACCACGGAGCCATTTCTCCAGCTCAACAAAACATATATTTTATTATTATTTTTTTTAAATTTCAATTTACTTACTTTATATCCCAGGGGTGGCCCCTTCCTCCGCTCCTTCCAGTCCTTCCGCTTCTCCTCTTTCCCCTCTCCCTTTCTCCCCAGAAAAGGGGAAGCCTTCTCTCCCCTTATCAACCTGCCCCAGTACATCCAGTCACATCAGGACTGAGCGTATCCCTCTCCCCTGAGGCCAGGCCAGGCAGTGCTGACAGTGGGAAGTGATCCAAAAGCAGGCAATAGAGTCCATGTTAGAAACAGCCCCTGCCTCTGCTTTACAGCTGCCCCATATGAAGATCAAGCTGCTCATTGGCTCCATATGTGCACAGGGCCTAGGTTCAGACCATGCATGCTCCTTAGTTGATGTCTCAGTCTCTGTAAGTCCCTCATGGGACTGGGTTAGTTGTCTCTTTTGGTCTCCTTGTGCATTTCCTGTCCCCTTCAGGTCCTTCCATTTTTCCCCCAAAACTTCCACAGGATTCCGTAGCTCCAGCCCATGCTTGGCTGCAAGTCCCAGCATCTGTCTTGATCCGCTTCTTGCTGGAGCCTCCCTGACTACAGTCAAGTTAGGCTCCTGTCTGCAAGCATAGCAGAGTATCATTAATAGTGTCAGGGGCTGGCTCTCTACCATGGGGTGCATCTCAGGTTGGGTCAGTTATTGGTTGGACATTCCTTTAATCTCTGTTCCCCTTTATTCCTGAACTTCTTGTAGGCAGGGTAATTTTTGGAACAAAGGTTTTGTCGGTGGGTTGTTGTTTCCCTCCTTCCACTAGTCCTGCCTGGCTAGGAGGTGGTCACTTCAGCCTTCATGTCCCCGAAACAAAACATTTTTGAGTGATAAGAAGAAACTCATCAGATAATCCAGGCCACTGTTTTCCATTAAAACTTGAAGGAAGGAAGTCTGCCTTGGGATTTGTACTATAGGATTTAGGAATCAGTGATGACAGAAACCAGCGATTTGCCATTTGATCCAAGAATAACAAAACTTCTTGAGGTAGCTATGCTAGTTCCAATCCTAGCATCCTAACCTTTAGAATCATCAGTCATCTGTAGTCCTTGAGAATTCTGGGGGACCCCAAAGAGTCTAGCTGAAAGTGGAATCTAAGTGCTGTGTTTGAGGTCTGGAGGAAAGGTCTGGAATCATTGGGTTGACTCATCAATGTGTCTCCAACTGTTTACAGGGAAGGCTGGCAGCATCAAGAAGGCTGAGGAAGAGGAAGAAATTGACATTGACCTGACAGCGCCAGAGACAGAGAAGGCTGCCCTTGCAATCCAGGGCAAGTTCAGGCGATTCCAGAAAAGGAAAAAGGATTCCAGCACCTGAATGGCGGGCCTTCCCTTCACCTTTCTACTTCCTCGTTCCCCTCCACCGCTCTGACTCTCATGTGTCTTGTCCCTTTATCCTCTAGCCTCTCCCAGAGGCAAGCTTAACCTTTGTAGATCCTTTTCTCAGGCTTCTTTAAGCCATCACAGTAGTAGAGGCACAAGGATGTGAGAAGATGAAGACTCCAGTGGGTAGTAGTCATTAGGCTAAGGGTGGATCACTCCCCTTCAGAGAACGAAAGGTTTAGAGGTTTTGACTCTACGCCTAGTGCTCAGGGCAGGAAGAGAAAGCCTTCAAAATGCAGAAGAGTCTCAGGGTGGAGTAAAGGCAGTCTTCTGCCAGTTGCAACAGTCACCCTTCAGGCAACACTTCAGGTCCTGCTGCACCACCCCTCCCGTCTCCCATGATTCAGCCATGGCGCAGCTGCCTCTCCCTCTGGGCAGCCCTAAATCAAGGAACTTGCAGAGTGTGGTGGTGCATGCCTTTAGTCCTAGAACTGGGAAGGCAGAGGCAAGTGGATCTCTGTTCAAGGCCAGCCTGGTCAACATGGTGAATTCCTGGCCAGCCAGGGTTACATAGAGAGACCCTGTCTCAAAACAAAACAAAACAAAAAAAACAAAAACAAAAAAAAACTGTCCCTGCAACAAATAAAGAAGCTTAATACATTAGTGCATGCTGAGTAGATTCTTTCAAAGGAAAGAAAACTGCGGCTGGTAGGGGCAAGGAAAAGCTTCCTTCATCGTCCAGACTGAGATCAGAGGAGCCAGAGATGGCAGAAGGTCCCAGGGCCGTAGGCCAGGCAATGAAAACTGACAGACATTTAAGAAGGAAAGAAAAGCAAAGGAGGACAACATGTCTGAAGCGATGTGCTATTGTGAAATAAAGACTACATGAGGGGCAATCTGGCCTTTGCCTACCTCTTAACCCGTCCCCATCTCTAGTCGCTCCCCCCCCCCAGTGCTGTGTGAGCCAAGTAACACCCCTATAGTTCTCAGCCACCCCACTGTGGAGTCAGGGCAAAAATAGCCACTCTATGTGACTTTAGCATGTTTAATAATTATAACAATAAAAAAGCCGTCAGGCGGGCCCACTGAACCTTCGCTGGTGTTTTGGGTTTGTTGTTGTTGTTTGGTTTGTTTTTCCTCCCTGGGGGGACATGAATGTAAGCCTAAACTGGCCCGGGGAAGGTGGCAGAGGAACTGCCTGGTGGCGTGAGAACCAATTCCAGATGAGGCTGACCCAGCCTTCCTCCTCCTGACCTTGCCCTCACCTTGAGGCAGCACCCACACTGAGTTGCTCTCTGCTGTCACCGCCCCCGGGGCACATGCACCTGCAAGGATGATGTCTTCCTGCTCTCCTGCCGGCTTTGAGCACGCTTGGTACGTATCTCTGGAGACAAACCTATTCTTCCTTGCTTCTTATCCCCAAGTGACTTATTCTAAATTCACTTGATCATCCTCCCAGGTTCTCCCTTCCCTTCCTAGTGCTTATAAAGTTAAGAGATGAAGACGATGACTCTGGACATGAAAGAATACCACCATTACACTGGAGGTTTTAACGAGAAATTAAATAAAAGTGATGGTTTTCAAGTAAGCTATCATTGCTAAGAAATGGCCTCTACATATTGAAACGACTGTAGATTGAGCAAAATATCGTAGATTTATACTACCTACACTCCTTACTTTTTTTGTGAGGAATGATGGTTAAAACAGTTTCACTACGTTAGCCAGGCATGGTGGCATAACCTTTTAATAACAGCACTCAGAAGGCAGAGGCAGACAGATTTCTCGATTTCAAGGCTAGTCTGGTGTACAGAGCATGTTCCAGGATAGCCAAGACTGCACAGAGAAACCCTGCCTTGAGAGAAACAATTAAAAACAACAACAACAAAAAACCAACAGAGTTTTACCACGTAGTCCTGGCTAACCCAGAACTTGCTTATAGTCCAGGCTGTCTTTGAACTCTGACCCTACAGCATTAGCCTCCAAGTGCTGGGATTACAACCTTGTGCTACCATGCCCATCTAATGGTTTTTATTTTGGTAAACTTTGTAAAGCATAAAGTTTTCTATTTTTATCATCTGTAGTTATTTTTATTTTGTGTGTACTATGAGTTGGTGGTTTTGAGATACTTATTCTATACGTATCAGTGTTTTGCTTGCATATATGTCTGTGAACACTGTATGAGCCTGGGGCCCTTGGAGGTCAGGAGAGGGCATAAGATCCCCAGGAACTGGACATTCAGACGGTTGTCAGTCACCATGTAGGTGCTAGGAAACAAATCCAGGTTTTCTGAAAGATTAGCCGGTGCTCTTAATGGCTAACCCAGCTCTCCAGTCTGAGTTATTTATTATTATTTTATGTGTGAAATGTTTTCCTACAGGTATGCATGTATACCACGTGCATGCCCGGTATGGAGAGAGGCCAGAGGACAGCATTGGGTTCCTTGGAACCGGAGTTACGGGTGGTTAAAAGCTGCCATGTGGGTGCTGGGAACTGAACTCAGGTCCTCTGCAAGAGCAGAACCATTTCTCCAGCCCCCAATTTTAATCTTTTAAACAGAACCTCTTTTTTTGAGCCTCTGTAAACTATTGTTCTACTACCAGTCTCTAAGATTTCCATTTTTTTTTTTTTAATACAGGGTTTTACCGCGCAGCTTGTGCTGTCCTGAAACTCAAGGTTCACCTCTGTGTGCCGAGATTATAGGAATGTACCACCATCTCTAACTCCCTTCCCTTTTTGGTCCAAGAATATAGAAATCAAAACTGTTCAGCAGCCATGAGTAAGAAACAAGCAACAGTATCTCTGGAAGGCAGGCTATATTTCAGAGTATATTCATGCCTAGCAAGCCCTTGACGGTGGGATATTAATAGAATTGAATAGTAATTCATAAAAGGGCCCTCTGCTAAAGGAAGTACTTCTTCCTGATGCCAACGAAAAGAAGGAAGTTTTATTGTTACCTTCAGAATCGGATGAGTGCAATATAGTTCATAGTGATGGTAGCCGTCCTCTTAGCCTCCTAAGCAAATTTAAAAAATAACCTCATTGCTCTACCTGGGGTGTGTTTAGTATGCCCTGATAAAATAAGAGTACTTCCAGGGCTAAAAAAAAAAAATGGCTCCATTGTAAAAGTGCTTGCTGCTCTTCCAGATGACCCACGTTCAGTGTGTAGCACCCAGTTCAGGTGTAACTCCAGCTCCAAGGAATCCAATAACCTCTTCTAACCTCTGTGTCCATTCAACTACACATATACACACACATTCAAAGACAGGCACGCTTGCGCACGCGCGCACACATACTCACACACACAATAACAATGAATCATTTAATATCAACTTAAAGAGTAATCCCTGGCCCTTTGGTCCACTCTTCCTTGGTCTGGCCCCTATTCCACGGAGGCCAGGGAGGAGCTTCCTGGCCCCGGCCATGAGGGAGCTGGCTGGTGCGAGGCAATGGCGATTTCTCTGTCTGTCAATGGCCTGTTCACTAGAGACCTGCTGCTTGGAGGATACTGCTGAGCCATCTTGCCACACTGGTCTGGAGCCTGTTGATGAAGCCCCAAACTCTTCATATACATTCTTAATAAAGGCATGATAGCATTGGTTTGGGAAAGAGAATTCTGCCCAAAAAGGAGAGACTTGAGCGTCTTCAGCTAAATCAGAGGAAATTCTCAATAAAGGCTCTCCTCCAAGGGCTGGTTTCTCTCCCAACCTGTTTGCAGTTCCTGATGATTTGAGCTGAGTTGCTTCTCTCTGCCTGCCTGGAACACTCTCTTGAGGCCCTGGGGCTTCTGATGGGATTTCCCTGGGGGCCCTAAAACTTCTGAAGAAATGAACCTTGGATACTAATCACAGAGAGTAGAGAGTTTTCTGACGTGTTTCATCTTGTGGAACAAAAACTGGAAATCTCTGTGCGCTACAGAGAGGCTGTGACAAATGGATTAGCAGGAAGGATAAGCAGAAGGAAATAAAAAGACACGGATCTTGGTTGGGAATTCCTGTAATCTCAGCCCTTGGGAGGTGTAGGCAGGAAGATCAGTCGTTCAGGGTCATCCTTGGTAACACATCTAATTCAATGCCAGCCCAGGCTACATCAACCTGTATCAACCCCCACACCCCAAAAACTTGAAAAAAAAAGTGCCTTTCATGTACCTTACTTATGACAGCAAATGTGTGAGTTCCCCCCCACATCAAACAGTTCTCTAACTTTCAAGACCCCTATTCTAGAGCTGTGGTACCAGGTAGCCAGAGTTAATGCCATATGTGATGTGTACTTTAGCTAATCAGCTGCCAGACAGAGCCTTTCCTCCGATCAGTGATTTGCTCATAGAGCCCGGGAAAGTTCCCTATGTATTATTGCCACTTTATTCTAAAGGACTCAGCTCTGAACCCACCATGGTGCTGGAAACTTATAATCCCAAACCTTGGGGATCTGAGGCAGGAGGATTCAGGGGCAGCTTGAGCTAAATAGTGACATAGAGAGAGGTGAAAAAGAGGGAAGCCCCCCCCCACCTACCTCCTAAGGAACAGCTGAAAAAAAATAAAAGGAAGAAAGCAAGCAAGGTATGAGATGAATGGAATCCCATGTGCTACCTTTGGGCATGTTCCTGGCATGTCGATGTTCAGCAATTAGAAAGCTCTCTGAACTTTGAACCCTAGATTTAGAGCTTTTATAGAGTCATCATTACATAAGCCCCTGCTATGGTTGAATTTGGCTTTTGAACCAGCTGAGGTGGCGCGTGCCTGTGATCCCAGCACTCAGGAGGCTGAGGCAGGTGGATTGCTTTGAGTTGGAGACTAGCCTGAACTTGAGTCACCCTGAGACACATAGGAACATCTTGTCTCAAGCAGGGGTTAAAGATATGGAAACAGGGCTTAGGATATAGAAAGATATTCCCCTCACTCCTTCTCACTCAGCAAATTTGAGGGATTCTAGGCTTCCTGTGCCAAAACCTGAGGATAAAGACCAAACATGTTTCTGGTAGGAACTTATAAAAATTAACGCTTTTCTGTGTTCACTTTAGCTTTCAAATACTCATCTGTGCTAACCCGACTATGCTGGCCTGGCCTACTTCCCAGCCACATGTCCTGTCACCTGCCATCCTGGTTAATCCATGCCCTCATGACAACTTCCTCTCTCCCTCTCTCTCCACCTGCAGAACTTCTCCCTGGGATCCCAAGTCCTGCCTTAATTCTCTTGCTCAACTTTAGGCTGTTCAGCTCTTTATTAACCAATCAGAGGTGATGGGTAACAATTTTTATGCACCATTGAGACAGGAGATGACCTCATAGAAATGACAAGGCCAGTGTCTGGACTGCAACCAGATCTCTGGGTACAGAAGTCAGCATCTGAATACACAGTGCACAAAACCACTCCCCAACAGGAACTAGTCCAAGGCTTGCGGTTAAAAGAATTTACCAGACTAGAATTAATATAAAAGTCTAATAAAGAATAGATGCCAGACAGAAGAGCAGTAGTTAGGGCTGAAGCGATGGCTCCACAGTTAAGAGTACTTGCTGCTCTAGCAGAGGGCCCAAGCTTGGATCCAAGTTTCTGTACGGGGCAGCTCACAGCTGCAACTTCAGCGGATCTGATGACTTCTTGTTGCCTCTGTGAGCACCCTCAAACATGTACACAAGCATGTACACACACACACACACACACACAGAGAGAGAGAGAGAGAGAGATTCCTGGGCAGTAGTGGTATCCTTTAATAGCAGAAGTTACTCAGCCTCCTGGGCCATCTGTGCAGGGTGATATTTGAAGAGAATTCAGAATTCAGAGGGCAGCTCACAATCCTGAGGTAGTACATCTTAGGACAGTGCTGCCTTCTTTGACACGCACCACTTGGGGTTAGGCACCAGAAGCCACTAGGAGTTGGTCTCTGATTGTCTTAAGGAATTACAAGTCACTGGGTCAGACTCCAGAGAGTTAGGCTCAGTCAGCTAGAAAGTGGATTTTTCTTTTTGATTCTACGTTTCTTACTGTATCACATTATCATGTCCATACCACAAACTTCTGGGGCTTTCTCAACTGTGCCAGGGGTAACAGACCTGGGACTGCAGTCCTGACGAAAGTAGAGGGGTCTGGAGATCT